ATATATATTAAAGTAAACCAACTCAAAATTTTCCCCCAAAAACTACATTTAATACATTGTAATAACTTTTATCAATTTCTATGCATGATTTATCAACAAAAAATATTTACGTCATATAAACAATTAATTTATATTTTAAATGTATTGGAATTTGTACTCAGTGACAGATCTAGAAATTACACTCAGGGGGGCCCGATTTAATGTTAAATAACGAGCTTGTAGTTTAAGTCGAAACACTTATTCTATATAAAAATGTATTTAATATAATTATAAATATAGATATGTGTACCATCAAGGTTTTAAAAACTTAGAAACCATATCACCCTCTAGCTTTTAAATAAAATAAACAAAAAAAATTGAAATTACATGTATTTATAATTTAAGTTCAACATTTATAATTTATGGAAAAATAAGTTTTTTGGTTGAAAATTTAATTTAAATTGAACATTTGCACCACATTGCATAGCATTTTTGTTGATGAGAGCATATCAAATGAACATTTTTTTAAGAAAAAAAAGGTAAATTAATAATATGTGATTACACAGAAACGAGTAAATAGTCAACACTAAAAAATGTAACAATCCAACTAAACTCAATTTTATAAATCACTAAATCAATTTACAATTAAGAGACCGAAAAAGTAAATGATTATAAATATTTTTAAAAGTTTATCTAGAAATTTAAATATAAGGATTGTTAGTACATTTTTCGATAAATAAATAATATTATTAGTTTAAATAAAAATAGCATAGGAAATAAGTTTTAATTATTAATATATTATAAATCTTTTTGTATTTTTATACATATTTTATAGTATTTTATTTTTATATATATTGATTAATAATTGTAGTTATTAATAAATTGTAAATATTTTTTGTACATATTTTATACTATTTTGTTTCATATACTATGTTGACATATTTTATACTATTTTAATATTATATATATATATATATTAATTTTTTCAAAAAAATCAGGGGGGCCACGGCCCCCCTGGGCCCAATGTGGATTCGTCTTTGTTTGCACTCTAATTTTTCTTGACTAAATAAATGCTTTAACTACATCTATTACCATGAAATAAATTTTGTTAATTTCTATGTATTATTTACTACCTCCTATTTTTAATATATGTCGTTTTGAGAAGATGCACACTAATTAAGAATATTTTTTTTGTCAATAATAACCTTATTTAATGAAGGTAGAGATGAATGTTTTGAGAAAAAAGTGAAGATTGAATATGAAAAGACGTGATGTATTTATTGGCTAAATGAGGGTAATAATGGAAAAATATGTGCAAAAGATTCAAAAAGACATTTATTTGGAAAATAGTTGAAAAATCTAGAATGACATTTAAATAAAATAGGAGGGAGCACCATTCAAACAATAACATAAATATGTGTTACAAGTAAATACTTATTTTCGTCATAATAAATTATTATACAAATCCCAATTATATATTTTTTTATAATCAATTATTGTTACAAATAATGTTTAATATTATACATAATTATTTATTATGAATTCTCATCTCAATACCTCACTTATTATTTGTCTCACTTACAGTTTGTATGTATGAGTTCCTTTCCTTTTATAATATTTTTTATAATAATAAATTATCAATCTTATTTAATTAATCACTAAAATAAAATTTCAAGTCAAATATTTTATTTATTTATTATTTTTATTGGAACATCAAACACAATATTATGTTTTCGGTTATATTGGGTATATTTCAAGGTAAAATGGAAAAAAATAATAACTAATATGATATCTATATGTAACATATGTTTTCATAAAAATA